TTGTAAAAAGTAAGATTGAATTTGCTTCTTCTCTGAAATATGAATTATTTTGGTTCGCTTATGCCCAACGAAAATTATTGCACAAAAATGAAGAATTTATTCGAAATTATTTTGGGCATTCTAGTGTTAGCTAATTAATAAATATAAATATAAATATATATATACACACAAAATTTATCCCATGTAAAAATGCACTTAATAAAATAAACCGAAACCACTTTAACAGTAAATAAAATATGCATAAATAAATCACTAATACAGATTATTTTAAAGTTTTAGAAAGGCAGGCAGGAAAGCAAATATAGGATGCTTTAATAATTTTTATGATTTCGCTGGTATCTCAAACGGAGACAGTGTTTTTAAACACCATCAGAGATAAAGGATTAGAAATTGTGCTTAATGTAATTAAACTATTTATTCAAAACCCATAAGATAATTTTTGACTTTAATATCCACATTAACCAAAGTTTCCTTTTTCTTTTTTCTTAATTTATTTTTCTGTACATTAAGCATAGTTTGTTACTTATAACGAATTTAATCAATACTTTTCTCTTTTTCATTTATTTTGCCGGAGTAAATCTTGCTATTTCAATACTTTTGCTCATAATATACATAAGGCAAAAAGTTAAAACAAGAATCCTTATTTAGACTGGTAAAGTTATCTCAAAGAAATATCCTGCAGACATGTGGATATTTCATTTTATTTTAGTTGCAGATGGTAACCGATTTTAGGAGGATCAAATTGTTTTCATCTAAAAATTATAAGGTAGTAACTAAGGAAACGGTAGAAGAGGGAGGCCTAGGACTTAGCAAACTACGTAAAAATGAGGTACATGATGACAGAGGTTTCTAGGATCCTTTATTATGCCATTTATATGTCTGATATTGACAAAGCCCGCATATTCTACCACTATAGTAGCAATAAACTTGCATAAATATTACTAGAACTAGATTATATTTGAAAAGAACTAATTTATGTAGTTAAGTTACACGGTCCATTTATGGCAATAAAATGGGAACAAATGCCGCTCAAGGTAGTACATCAGGACGGATAAAACGGTTATTTTTAGAAAGTATCTTCTTTTGTATATGATTAAGAGCAAGATTATTTCAACTATCCCACCCTTTCTCTTTTTAAAACCTATTTTTGGCTACATTAAAAATTTCTTTTGGCATCAATTATTCATAAATGGCCTTACGATGCAACATTTTTATCTGAACAGTACTTCTCAATACAATTTAAGAACGTATCGTTTTAAAAATAAACAGATAAAACAAGGATAAAAAGTCGTTTAAGTCGATTTTTGATAAATGCTATATCTGAGTATGTTTGCCCCTCTAACAGCCACTAGATATTTAAAAATACTAATTTTCCTACCCCTTCCTAGTAATGCATGGTAAAAATATTCGTGCTTAAAAAATATAGGTGTTAATACAGTGCCATCTATACGGGCTAAACTAACATTATTTACTTATCTGCTGTATAAATATAAAAATAAATAAATAAATGAAGTTGGTGCAAAACTTTTAGAAAAATTCTGTCGCTCAATCGATAAAGCTTTCTTATCAAAAAAGGAACTTGTACAATATTTATTACTCTAAAGGATTCTCGCAAAGTCGTAAGTTATTTTTAAAGCTAATCTTGCCGCAAAGTTAATTATTTAAATGCACTTCCTCTACAATATCTCCATTAGGACATAATCATCTGGCATCTTCGTAGTTACATTTAGAAATATGCTTTAGGTTTAACATAATTTTTTAATAAGAGATTGTAAATTAGTTAAAGCACAGTCTCGAGCTTTATTCAATGTCACTTTGCATGGTTAGCTTTTTGCAAGTTAGTACTTCCTTTAATTTTTGTTTAAGTGAAGATGCACTGTAGAGTGAGATATTTAGAACTATATATACTATCAATAAATAAAGAAGTTGGGAATAAACATAAAACGAGAAAATGCATATTCATTACTTAAGTAGATTCTTTTAAGAGCAAACCTAGTTAACGTACGTCTATCCAATTCATACACATAATAGAGTAGTCTGAAGCCATTTTGTCTCTTTTAGTTCTTTGCATATTGTGATTTACTATCTGACAACTCATCTTTATGTAAAGCGCAAATTACGAAATAGGAGAGCTTTATTTAAAAATATTGTATAATATACCCATTTAAGCTGAATAACAATTTCTTAATTATTTATAATCAAATTAATATGAAGGCACCATTACAAGATATCCTTAATAAATTGTGTACTTATTCAACTAGAAATACAAATGCATTTCGATAATGGTAGCATTAAAACAATTTCGTCAGACGTGAATGCAAAGGATTGTTGACATATTTTATTGAGGCAAAATTGGCCAGTGCGACTTTTGTTGTCACTAGATAAGGAGATAATCTAACATATTTTAACGGAGTCCTTTCAATACTTTACTAGAATGAATACTAAAATACCTTTTTTATGAGATATCTACGGATCCATTAACTATGCGAGCTCCTCAGGATACATGCGTATAGGACAGACCCTCAACTAGATACATGTAAATAAAAACGCTCGTTAAAAGAATATACAAGACAAGAAGAACATTTGCAATGACCACTAACACGAATAAAACTGTATTCTACAAATAGGCTCGAGTTGCCTTAGAAGCAAGCTCAAAAAATGTAGGCAAAAGTAAACTCCGTCCATTGTTTAATTTCGAGCTTCTGATAGTTTATCAGTACCATATTATTCTGGGTTCAAACAAGACATATTTCTAGTATCCCTGAAACATTTAATATCGGTTTTGTGAAATACTAATTCCAGTCATTTGCCCAATAAAGATTTACAGTCTAAGTGTAAGTCTCACTGGCAAAAATCATATCAACGCATCTCCCCATTTTGGATGCTAAAGTTCACACATCCTCCACCAGCCCTTCGGGTAATGACTCAAATTATTTGGCAAATTGCAAGATATTTCACTTATTGGAATTTTGGAAATTCGCTAGGGTTTAGCAGCCTTCAATTGTTATTTAAGCTAAATCTTGTAGATGGAACGAGATAATATACATCATTAACTAGGTCGGACAGAGGAAGTAAATGCAGTCTATTTTATAAAAGTTAATGACTAAATTATGGACTCGGAGAAGACCAGAGAGACCATGGATCAGGGTTCATCGCATTGTACCCCTGCTGGCTTAAATACAACCCTATGCGGGTCTATTTATACAAACAGAGGGCTTATAGATACTTGAAGGAGACTCTTTCTCTTTTCAAGCTTTTTATATTAAGTTATAACTCATATTATTCGCCAATCTGTCTACTTATGTCGTTCAAAGTAGTATAGACATCTTTTGTATTATTTTAAATGTTGTCGTCCAAGCCTCTTTGAGAAAACATACGTAAACTCCCAATTGTGGCAGACAAGAGGAAATAAGTGAGACAAGTAGTTGGAAATGCCGTCTGTTTATACACGACTCTGTCATTGAGTTTACCGTTTTTTCTGGTACTGACATGACAACAAGTCTGTGAGACAGACGCATGAGTCTATTGCCGTACTTATTTTCCTATGGCCGGAGTGTGGTCCTAAAGGAGTACTGTGATGTTTCACCTTCCCCTGACACTTCTGACCCACTCCCATCCGTTTCATAATTGCGCATGTGTGTGCATGCCTCGGTGTGTTTGTATGTGCATCTGTGTGAGTGCGTGAATTTGTGTATGCCATTGTGCCGAAGTGTGTGTTTGTGTGAATTCCTCATACAAAACGCAGGTCCTAGCAAGTCGATGAGTGTTCAATTCTAGAGCCAGATTATGAGAATAAGCGATAAAATTGGTTTTTCGACTCATTCCTGGTGCCAACTAGCCAGATTTTGCTGCTGCTCACGTGACGACAGAGCAAGCCGGACGGAGAGGAGCAGAGGCCGGTAGAGATTGAGGGGAAGAAAGAGAAGCTTTACTCTGTCTCAACTTTTCTCGAGTTCATCATGTAGGTCTAAAGGAGGACTGACCATACAAGAATGGACACGGTTTCAGGTAACAGAGCTCTTGAGTACTGAGCAATAGAGCGATTCGACGTGAAGCAAAAGTATAAAGAAGCCAATCCACAGCATAATCTACGCCGGTCGAAGAGAGGAGACTCGGCCGCGAGCTGGAGCGGTACGTATAGCCATACAGTCAGAAAGACAAACAATAATACAATCCCAGCCAGTTCTATGATACAAATGAACATATGATATAGGTATATATCAACCTACTATATATATTTATATGTATATATATATATGTATATAAATATAATAATCTGAACGTTACAATGCTATACTGCAGAAAAGGGAGGAAACGAATTACACAAAGAAGGACATGAGGGCAAGCTCATGCAGAGCTGAAAAGTCAGAGAGCTGGACATTCACAGATGGATATTTTAATGTTAGAATAGGTGAGGCAGACCAGCTGAGAATCTGTATTTATTTGGTCAGGCGCTGAATATTGATAAGGGCTTCGTGTGTATTCACTCGCAGACACAAATGAATTGTGACCGAGACGACTTGCAGAATGAGCCAAGAACGAGAAAAAGTGAGACCAGACCAAGGCGAGGTGTACAGTCAGTGGGCGAACAAGACTGACTACATTTCAGGGTTAGTAACAGTTCTTCTTTCGCGGCTATCAAGAGGCCGGTTGTTGCTGCGATGTGCTAGTTTCCGGTACTTCTTTATTGGAACCGGTTATGTTTCCCACAAGGCCGTACATGCTGGCTAATCTGTGCCGCCTTAGCGGGACTCGAAACCGTCAAAAGGCTGCCAGGCAGACATAAATTTCAATAAATTTTATGTCCAAGCCAATTTATAATAATTAACCTGTAATCCAGCACACGAAATCTTGACATAATAGAATGCAAAAAACATTCAAGCATTCTCTTCAATTTCATGCGCGACTCTGCCCCCCAAACCATTTAAAACGAAACTAACCTACTAACTATATACCTAAGTAGTATGACTAATTTGATGACAAACGCACGTTTAAACATCATTTTAAAATGCTCCAAATGATTGTCTTTAAAGTTTCTACTTATTGTGGCTTGACTTTAACATTTTTGTCTTTTGGCACGCATGTCCACAGTTCGAGTCCCGTCGGGAGGGAATACTTGACGGTGACTCAATTGAACGTCGAAGTTACGGCCCAGGCTGGAGAGGAGAGTGGACATTTTAAAGGCATGAAAGAATAAAATTGTTACATAACCCAAAAAGTCGCCTCTCTTCCTCTTATAGTAGCCGAGTGTGTTAAAACCTTAAGCGTCTCCAAAAGAGAAGCACGAAGGCGCTTGATGGCATATCGCAAGAAAGCAGATTTAAAATGATGAACCTTTGAGAGGAAAATCTCTTTTATACAAATTATGTTCACTTTGCA